CGAAATATATCAAGGAAAATATGTAACTCCTGACGTTGATATTAAAAGAAACTTCGGAAAGGCGGCAGCACCATTGGTTAAAATGATAGAAGAACTACCCAATAACATGAAATTCTTGCAATTCTCCTTTTACTTCGACAATTTATTTACAACTTTTAGTTTATTGTCATATTTATGTTTAAAAGGATATGGAGGTACAGGGACCATTAGAGAAAACCGTTTACCCAGGAGAGGTCCCTTATCGAATAAAACACTTCTTGGAAAGAAGGAAAGAGGTTATTTCGAAAACACTATTAGTAAGACGAATGGTATTCTAGTAGCTAAGTGGGTTGATAACTCTGTAGTTTGCATTGCTACCAATAAATATAGCATTAATCCTGCGTCAAATGTCAGACATTACTCGCAAAAGGAGAAAAAACACATACAAGTTAGCCGACCAGCTTTACTAGCCGAGTACAACACAAAAATGGGTGGTACTGATCGAATGGACCAAAATGTTGGACAATACAGAATCCAAATAAGGAATAGGAAATGGTATTGGGCATTGTTTACATGGCTCTTGGATATATCAATCAATAATGCATGGTGTTTATATCGAAAATCCAACAATTCCCAAATCAGCCAAATAGATTTTAAATGGGCTATTGTGCAATTTTATTTAAAACAATATGCGTCACCTCCCAAAGGCACTGGCAGAACTCCATCGCTAATTTCTAATGCACAAGGAGTGATTGATAAAATTAGATATAACAGGATGTACCATCTTATTGAAAAAATTTCCAACGACAAGAGAAGACGTTGTACAGGAGGATTTTGTAAGAGTTTAACACGAACCCAATGCAAAAAATGCGATGTAGGCTTGTGCATTGATTGTTTTGTTTCCTACCACACAAAAAACGTTTAAACGAAATGTAAAACACCTAGTTTTTTTTTAAATGATTTTTAATAAAACCCCTAAGTTTTGAATATACGTCTTTTTGCTCCTAATAGTCCCTAGCGTTACATATATGTAACACTTTAACCTGAAGGGTCTATAAATCTACAAATAAAAATTCAGTTTTTTTATTAAGTTCTGACCATAATTTAAACAAAAAATACTAAAATTACCGAAAAAATCGAAAAAAAAAATAATCTAGGCACTAATGGGTTAATCGAGTTATTTTTCACTCCTGAATATATGGTTCCATTTATGCCCTACCTTTTTGTTACACCCTTTATATGATAATTATGATTATCATCCTCGCTATATTCGAATTTTTCTTTACCATTTTCTATTGTGTAGGACGTATAATAAATTGATAACAAAAGGGGTACGTTAGTGTACACTATACAATCAATTAAGATGCGTTCATCCCTTTATTGCTTTATTCCATGTAAAAGCGTGGTTTGTGTGAATAGCCGAACGCAATCACAAAGACTCTGGTCTGTTTCTGCAAGAACGTGCTCGACACTGTTCCGCTCTCTCGCACATTCTTCATGACCTTATTAGCCCTGGGATTAAGGTAGACAAGTCTTACAGTCCGTCGCCGACCTAGTACGCTTTTATTTTCTCGATGCTGCAGAGAAAAAGGTTTGTCAGGACTTCTTTACTACCACCGCATACAAGGTGATGGTTAAAAATTAAAAATAAACACACCTCTGGATTCTTGTATTATAACTAGATAATCCCTGTCTCAAAACACGATGATTTAACCTAAAACACTTACATAGCATATCGTCACTGGAAAGGTAAAAGGTCTAAAGCGCCATTCTAAGGAAAAATGAGTTAAAAACATGTCTAAAAAGCCCTTTTTTTCTGCATCGATGTATTCAAGTTTTATAGCATTCTGATCACTTAACGTGGCGCTTTAGTCACTGTAAAATAGGTATCTATATTTTAAAGAATTCGCTTAAACGACATAAAAATATACATTTTCCTACTAAAGTCAAATAAGTCAACTCCAATATTAAATAAACTACCATTAGTTATTTTAGTTTTCATTATTTTTTACTATTTGGTTGGTTAATCTATCTGATATGACATACATAACTATGTTTTGCCTGTTAGTCAATTTGCCTTATTTAGTATTTAGAAGGATTATTGTTAACCCGGGCAGACACGAATTGAGAACCAAAATGAAAATATTAAGAAGGGTTTATTTTTGTACCTGAAAATATGACACGAATTGAGGACCAGGCTTCTGAGAAATAATTATAGTAAGTGCACCGAATTGCGGATTAGGGATTAAGGTTGTAATGATGATTCATTGCGTTAACGAGCATTTTATTACTTTACTTTCGAAATTCTAATATATATTTGAAGTGAGTGTTTTGTGTTTAGTTTATTTTGAGCAGTCTTGTAAAAATGAGTGAAATTAAAATGATCTTAAGTGAAAAGGGAAAGTCGTTACTTGTGTGGGATGATTATAAGTTTCGTGAAAAAAAGGTTCTTAAAAGTGATGAAAGTTTTGGACTTGTACTGTAAGTAAATGTAACGCAAAAGTATTTACGCTAGGTTCAGATAATATAATTTCTCGAAAAGAAACAGTGCACAATCATGAAAATTACATAAAGAAATTAAATAGACAAATTTTGAGTGTAGCAAGCAAACGGAAAGCTGTAGAAGATATCACAGAACGGCCATCGAAAATCATACACTCTGTTTTAAGGGAAAACAGTGATACAATGGACGCTTTGACAAGAAAAGACATTACATACATAAGAAATAATATGTATTACAAAAGACGTCAAGTCCAAGCACGTTTACCAAGCAATGTATCAGATGTTTTCGATATTTTACCAACATTAAATTTGACAACAATTAAAAATGAACCATTTCTCTTGGCCACTGATAATATTAACAATATTGTAGTATTTTCGTGCTATACTAATTTAAAATTTTTGTGTAGTAGTGACAAAGTGTATCTTGATGGAACATTTCGATATTGTACGAAACATTTTTTACAGTTGTTCACACTTCATATCGTAGAAAACGGCCATTATATACCAGTAGCTTTTTGTTTATTACCGAATAAACTTCGTTTAACATACGAAAGACTTTTCGTTATTCTTAAAGAAAAGTGTTGTAATGCTAATTTAATATTTGTTCCAAAAATTATTGTAGCTGATTATGAACTAGCTATTCACAAAGCAATTTCTGCGCAATGGCCCACCACAAAGATCATTGGATGTAGGTTTCATCTTGGCCAAGCTTGGTACAGAAAAATACAGAGTTTGGGATTGGCTAAAGAATACCAAGATGAAAAAAGTGCAACTGGAAAATGGATGAGGTATCTTTTTGGATTGTCTTTTTTAAAACCCGAAGAAGTTGGAGAATGTTTTGCTTTGGATTTGGCTGAATTTCAGCCCGATCATATGCATAAAGCTGTGGTAAATTTAGCTGACTATTTAGTAAAGAATTATATTGAAGAAAATTCTTTATTTCCACCAACAATTTGGGCTGAAGCTGTTGTAACTACAGAAAATTCTACCAATGCATGCGAGTCCTTTCATTCTAGATTTAATTCAAATTTCTATTCAATGCACCCTTCATTGTATTTATTTGTAAATGTTTTGAACAATTTTCAAACAGATACTTATATTCGTATTAACAGCCTTAAGGAGTCTGTTAAATGTAACAACAAAATTGTTAGACGAAGATTAAATATGTTAACTTCAAAAATGTTAGAATATAAAAATGGTTCTATAAAACGAATAGATTTTGTAAAATTCGCATCAAATTATTATAAAGTGTATTAAATGTAAATAATATGTATATGTTTAAAAAATTAATTATAAATTGTAAATTGTGCAATAAATATCTATTTTTATCTGAATTCGTACTTTTCTTCAAATTTTGCAAATCCATCAGAAGACAAATAATAATATTATAAATGGGTATAGTGATAAGATACTTCAATTATTGAGAAGTTTGTTCCTCAATTCGTGTCATATTTCCAGGTACAAAAATCTCTCTCAGTAATCTAGTTAACGCAATGAACCCTCATTACCACCTTAATCCCTAATCCTTAGTACGGTCCGCAATTCGGTGCACTTATTTGGTCTGTGCAGGTAGTGGTCCTCAATTCGAGAACACCGGTTAACCCATTTTGCGTTCTTAGGATCTAAGGAAAATGGCGTGTTAGTCAAATTAGCTTTATAAGATTTATGTGTTCCTCAAAAATAAGTTATTTTTTTGTTGATTTTAACCTTAAATATAAATACATAGTATTAAAAAGTCAAGCGATAGTGACTTAAGCAAGTCAAAATGTTTTGTTTTTCCATCGGCATAACAACTAATGTACTGCACTGTTCTGACTTCTGACACGTCTTCGGTTTCGCTAGCATTTAGGCATTTTAGTTAGCATTATAAGGTGAGAGGGTACAGTTCGTTTGTATTAAGTGTTTTTGTATAAATTCAGTTATTATTAATTATTAGTTTGGTAAGTAAAAAGTGTGGAAATAGGTAAACGCAAATCAGCGAGGTTTTAAACTTAAATCTTAAATTTGTACGTTTTATGTAGGTAATGGCGTGTAAGATTTTAATTTTTGTTTTTTTTTTACTTAATGCAGTTAAGGCTAGTAACGGTTAGTTTATTACGTTCTGGAAAGAGCTTTTATTCCCTTAATAAAAAAAGGACTAAAAACCTATACTTCATACCACGAATCTAGTAAATTTTCGTCAAAAAGATATGTGATTTACTCGAGTTTTACTGGTTAGAATCATAAGCAAGGTACACTATTAAAAATAAGATTTTATGGTTATTTTCGGTATAATTTTCTTAGGGTTCTAGACAATGGAATTCGAATAAATCGCAATTCTTTTTGATAAAAATTAACTAGATTCGTGGTATAAAGTACAGAATCAAGTTAGTTTAGACATAAATAAAAAAAAACGTGTTTTACTTTATACTAAATGAGGAGGGCGCAACAAATTTTTATTTTAAAACTTAATACTGTTGCACACAACTTTTTTTATTTTTATCAATTACTATTAACATTAAGCTTCTCGTAACTTTAGAATGGCGTCTAATCGAAGAGAGTTTTTCCGAAAATACTGCCACCCACCGATGGTTCCAGAAGAGATACAGAGTCAAAATAATCAAGATAATGGTTTGGCTTCTACAGCAAAAAGTGATGGTATACCGGTTTCTGAAAATAATTCGGAACTTTAAGATAAAGCAATGCATGACAAAAATCTATCTGAGGGGCATTTAATGGATCTGGAAATTAGTGAAAACACTATTCTCGGCAACATGCAAGTTAAAGTTTTATCACCAAGCACTAACAAAGAATAGTTACTCTGCTCTCCACAAGAAGGTCCCAGTACAGCAGAACCTGCAAGTCCATTACATACACATGTTATTATAACTGACGAAAATCTATCTGAGAAAAATTTAATGGATCTGGAAACTTGTCAAAACACCCTTCTCAAAAACGTACAAGATAAAGTTTCATCACCTAGCCCTAACAAAGAAGATTTGCCCTGTTCTTCACAAGTAAGCCCCTCTTTATATGAACCTGCAAGTAAACCTGTAAGTCCATTACTTGCACATATAACTGCTGACAACGTCTTACAAGACATGCCTTCTACAAGAGCAGTCAGATAAAGACGAACAGAAATGTACAAGTATACTGTTGACTTTTTATCCGAGAACTATGAGCCTTTTCCTGGTAATGATAGTTCTTGGGACGGAACAGCCGAGTCAGAGTCCGAGAGTGAAGATAGTTCTAAGAAAAAACGGGTGGAGATTGGAACTGTTAATGAAAATTTTAGGAAAAAGAAAAAACCAGTAAACAAAGCTAAAGAGCGTAAGGCACGAAGAGATCGAGGGAAAGAATATGTTTTGAAAAAAGGTACCAAGGTCAGACCAAGAGCAGTTAAGGAAAATCCTTGTGTCCAGAAAAAATGTATAAATGGATGCGATATGATTACCGACGAAAGACGACAACAAATTTTCCAACATTACTGGAGTTTGAATGCAGACAATAGGCGTGACTGGTGTGGAACAAGGGAAGGGTTTTGCTAGACAGAAGTTGAAGGTAAAAGAGGAGGAAACGAAGTTTCAACTTTTTTAAAAAGATATATAAAAATTATTGACGATCGGGGTTCGGTAAAACATCTTCTATTATATAGTGACTTATGCGCAGGACAAAACAAGAACAAGATTGTTCTCTCATGTATACATCATTGCCTCCAAAATTGTGAAAATCTAAAAGCAGTTCAATTGAACTACCTTTTACCTGGTCACACCTATATGCCCGTTGACTCTATGCATTCAGTTATCGAGAAGAGTGTTTCACATAATATAATCTGGGCTCCTTCGCAGTGGCCAACCGTCTTTAGTTTAGCTAGAAAAAATCCCAAACCATACCATGTCGAAATGTTGACTCACAGGGATTTCGAGGGCTGGGATTCAATAGCCGATAAATATTTTAAAGGCAACTTAGTTGGAAAAATTAGCAAAGTGCGAATTGCTACTTTTAAAAAAATCTGCTCATTTTAAGGTATTTGTAAAGTACTCTATGAGTACGGAGGCAAAAATAGAAGAAATAGAAGTATACAAGTCTAAGGAGTTGGTTCCCCAAAAGATATACAAAAACGCCTTGCCAGAATCGAAAAAAAAAAATATATCGATTTGGTTAAATTATGCACCAATAAAACAGTTCCTGAAATGTATCAACATGAGTATCTTAACTTAACGACTGCAAATAATATTAGGGACACTTTAAATGAGACTGATATTAAAGACGAGGACTAATAAAATTAGTGTTTTGTTTTCTTATTGTTAAGTTAAACACAATCAATAAATAAAATATTTCTAGTTTATTACGATTTTTAGACCTATAGGTTAAAATTATGTTCTTTGTTTTAAATAGGAGGTTTAATAAATGAAAAAGTTTTTTGTTCCCAATCAGTAGCATGTGCGCTCATGTCTATCTGACAAGTTTATTAGGTTTGTACCTCTTTGTATATTTAGAACTAATATTCAGAATAAGTTGTATTCTTTTTTTGAAACTATTTTCAAGAGTATGTATTAGTAGTTATGTAAAACTTCTAGCTCAAATATTTTGTAATGTTTACTATATTATGTTGTTCTGGATACTTACAAAATAAAAGCAATAGTTATTAAATATGCTTTTCACTTGATTTTGTTATAGGAAATTCTGATTAGGGTAAATTTTATAAGACACTATAAAGTATTTTTGTTGTCAAATTCGTTTGTTTGCTTCATTAGGCATTTTACTCTTGATACTTGTAAAAGAGTTAAAACACTAAGTTGTTTTACCCCACTCATAATAAAATTGTATGATCCTTTAAGCGACTGTGCTTTATACTGACAAAACTGTTTTTATCGTATTAGTCATTTTACTTTTCAATATTTCAGGAACGTAAGAGTACAATTTGACTTAAGCGCCAATTATTCATTGAGTTATTTATTTTTGAAGAAAATCATTCCCATAACAATTTTCTAAAAAAATCAATACATTTAATAATCAATTCAAACCTAATAATAATTTACTAGGCAATTGGATATGATTTTTTTTTTCCAAAATTTTAATGTTTAAAACGTTCCCCTGAAAACCTACCTAAGTGTCGCTTAAGACCTTTTACCTTTCCAGTGACGATATAGTTCATTCGAGGAATGTTTTTTTTATTTGAGTTACTATTTATTACCTATCAAGTGGTCAATCCTATAAAAAAGACTCTTATTATTGATCTACGTTAGTTTTAAAGTTTTTAACGGGAGTTCAAAGATAAGTTACCCGTCCATAAGTTTGATCACTTTAGTTTTATTTTTTAAATTAGTTAATTTGACTCACAATATATGTTTTTAACGAAAGAGGAAAGTGCCTCAGGAAGTCCCCTTAGTGACTACCAGTAACCTAAAGATATAAACTACTTTAACAAATATTAAGCTATAAAATTTAATTTCTTTAATTACCTTTCGATACTAAATTTTCTCTTTTGAAAACAATACATACATTAAAACACAACTACAACCAAACTTTCCTCTGCTATTGACAAACTAGTTATCCGTTTTTCTTCAGGACCTCTGTAAAATAACAATAAAAACATATCCAGATCAAAGAAAGGCTCAGTCCTTTGAGAGTCCACATTGTCAATGCAGCGCAGTATGTACGCCTTGGGCTAGAGCAATGCTGGCATGTTGAACACCCCTAAGTGGACCTTTAAACGTTTGTCGGTGATTATACATAGGATTATAATATACAAGTTGGTTCAAAAGATTCTGTTAAGTTCTCAGTTAACAAGGGTAATAGTACTGTCAACAAAATGTATAACAGTAAATAAATAACTAAAAACATTCTCTACGTCTATGTCAAAAGTAACCACCGTTGACACGAATTTTTGCGAAAAAAATTGTCTGAAGTATCTAAACTAAAATGATACACAGTAAATAGAGTGATTTTTTTAAACATATTACCTACCACGTTTACTGTTCCAAAAAAAAATATGTGTAACCGAAATGTTATGACCAGTGGCGCAGCAGAAAATGTATCTGAAGGGCATCTTCATGCTACACTTGCGATAGAAATATGTTTAAAAAAAAAAAAAAAATACTTGGCTTCCTTTTTTCTGATTTCTTTTTTCTTAGTATGGATCTTGTACCTATAAAAAATCCGAGGATCGCAGATTTAATTCATCCAGCATTGGTTGTTTCCTGTGTTCCATTTTTTGATTGGGTTTTCCTTAAGGTTCTTGATGGACGTTTTATCCCATTCCGAAGATACATCTGCAAAATATTTTCTTTATCCGGATTATGTTTGATATTCCTTTTTGTGAACGGTGGCTTGAAATACGTCCAGCTGTATTATTTCCATGGGCTTAATTGGAGTAGACTTAACATGAATTTAGGTTGCTAGTGGGTTTCGGTCATATTTGTTAATCGTACAAAGGTCGCATAAGTTCATGATTTTCCACGAAGTATCTTTTAATAGTTGGCCATAATATTAGAACAGTGGTCGCCAACCTGTCGATCGCGAGCTACCGGTAGCTTGCGGAGGCAATTCTGGTAGCTCTCACAACGATTTTAATTTAAAAAATACAAACTCCAAAAATCAGAGAAGCTTCCGAAAATTCCACAAAAAAATCTAATTGTCATAATATTAAACATAAACAGCGGCAACGTTGCAGTGAGCGATCTGCCGCTGACGCCATCAAGCTAGAATCGGCTAGAACGGACCAGCGCGTTAGTGTTCGAGAACGATCAGGATTGCTTTGAACGGGATAAATACGCACGGCGTGGCGACATTGCGCTTAGTTTAAAACCAAACGCGTAACCAAGGTCCAGCGGTTGGGTTAGTAGGGAACAACAAAAAATAATATTATCGCAAGCAGTTGTAAGAAGGTAAAGACATACCACTTTCATTCGGAAAGGGAAGAACAATACTTTTTTACAGAAGTTAAAGATAAAAATGTGTGTTTGTTATGTAATACTTCGGTCTCCGTTGCTAAAAAAGGAAATATTGAGAGACATCATAAAATTGTACATTCTAATTTTGAAAAATCATGCCCACTACATTCTGCCGCCAGAAAGGAGAAACTGAAACATTTAAAAAAAGCAGTTAATTGGACAACAATCAATATTTTTAAGAACAGTCGACAAAAATAAGGCTGCAACTGAAGCATCGTACCGAGTGTCCCAGATAATTGCACAAAAAAAAAACCTTATGAAGACGGGGAAATGATAAAACAGGCGTTTTTAGAAGCTGCTGATTCTTTATTTGCCAACTTTAGAAATAAAGACGAGATAGTTTCAGCTATAAAATCTATGCAACTTTCTGCTAATACAGTGATGAGACGTGTAGAAGTAATGAGCAATGATATTTTTTTACAGTTAAGAACTGACTTAGATAACTGTGTTTATTTTTCACTTCAACTGGATGAATCAACGGATGTCGTTGACACTGCCCAGATGGCCATGTTCGTCAGGATGGTTTTTAGTGATTTTACGATTAAAGAAGATCTTTTGAAGTTTATTCCACTGAGAGGACACACTACTGAACAGGAGTTGTTTTCTCATTTAAAAAATATTATTTCTTCCGAGAAAATTCCAATATCGAAAATGGTAGGCTTGACAACCGATGGCGCTCCAGCTATGGTGGGTTGTGATAATGGTCTGGTGGCGTTATGTCGTAAAGATGAAACTTTTTCGCAATTTATCTGTTACCACTGCATTATCCATCAGCAAGCATTATGTGGAAATTTCCTGAAACTAAACAACGTTATGAAACTGGTGGTAAAAATTGTGAACAAGATTAGAGCTCAAGCGTTACAAAGAAGATTATTCAAAACCTTGGCCGATGAAGTTGACTGTCAATACGGGGACCTACTCCTTCACTCTGAAGTCCGATGGTTAAGTAGAGGACTGGTGCTGAAACGTTTTAATGATGTCCTATCTGACATAGTTCAATTTTTCAAACAACGCGATGAACCGACTCCAGAACTGGAAAATTCAATCTGGCTTAGACATTACAGAGAAATTAAAAGACTTTAATTTGCAGCTTCAGGGGAGAGACAAAGAACTAGCGGAAATGATTTCTGATACAAAAGCATTTATCAAAAAGCTGGAGTTTTGGGAACAAAACCTAATTATCAGCAATGCCAATCATTTTCCAATTATTTCAGAAAAAATATCTAAAAATCCATTAGAACCCTATGACAGAAAATATCATGTAGAATTAGTTTCTACCCTGAAGAATAACTTCAAAAATCGTTTTAAGGATTTCAACGAAATGGCTTTAGTAGCACAGTTTGTTGTTTCACCCTTTATGGAAATTGATATCCAACAGTTTTCAACTTGTGTTATGCAGAACTTTGACGAATACATAGCTGCAACAGAAATGGAAGTAATTGAGTTTTAAAATGATTTAGCCTGAAAATCGTTAGTCTCAAGTACCAAATGTATCTGGCCTATTGTAAGTAAAGACAAATATTCAGTTCTATGCCGTGTTGCCTTGAAAGTGAAAGCATTATTCAGTTCAACCTATTTCTGTGAATCTTCTT